AAGGAATCAATATACCCACCTGCATAATCCAACTTTGGTGACTTCGGTCGGGAGCTGTCACCCATTACAACTGATTGTCCACGACCGCGTTTACTATGGTGTGCATCCATACGTGTGACGGTTCTTAATTGAGTCCAACTTTGTTTTCCCAAGTTCACGAAGAATATATGGATGCAGAAACAAAACCAAATGCAAAGGAAACAACACTGGTTGCAAACTTGAATAGTAGTTGGTTGTAAATGTTAAATTTCCTGAAACCCTTACTCATTAATACGTTGGTGGTAGGTGGAAACACGTACTGCTTTAGTTGTGGTTTAAACATGCAAACAAAATTATTCACTATGCTTGGTTCCATTTTTCCAAATACAGTTTTCAGAAAATTCTACTTTCTTATTTTTCGTATTTTTTTGTTTTTACTGAATTTTTTTAATATTTTAAGATTTTTTTTTACTTTTTAGACATGCCTAACATAATTATATCTAAAAAGTAAAAAATTTGTGAAAAAAACCTTTTAAAAATTCACTAAATACTAAAAATACAAAAAAAATACGAAAATTATGTACATTTTTTGTATTTTTATGTATTTATTAATTTTTTAAAATATTTTTTCACAAATTTTTTACTTTTTAGATATATCTAAGTAAGGTGCATCTAAAAAAGTAAAAAAAATGTTTAAAATGTTAAAAATATTCACTAAAAACAAAAAAATACGAAAACAAAAAAACTTAATTAAAAAAACTCAAACCAAACACATTGATTATTGTCTGCTGGAAACACCTACCCAAACTGAATAAAAGCAAATGAATTAATTTGAATATTTCATTTAATATGTTGGGTATAGTTGGAAAGGCATATGTATCTGATAAGAGGAATGTTGGTAAGCTTTATGGATGAATAGACATGTAATTGGGTTGGGGTAGACCAAAAGTCGGGTTGGGGCACAAATACAAATGACGAATGTGAATGCATGATAAACTGTGGGTGTGGAAATCAATGACAGTGGGATAGTGCTGATGGAAGATACAATGCATGTGTGTTGTAAATGACAAATAATGGACGGTCAAAGGTACTGAACAGATGACTTGGTGTATGAAAGAAGGAACGAATGTGTGCAACATGAATTCGGCCGGTTTGAGAAATTAATACAATGTAAGTTACATTGCATGACGTCTTGTGAAAACATACTAGTCATGTACCATATCTTATCACTACAACATAATTGACTTTTCACGGCACCACATCCACGACATACAATGAATGTAAGCTGTAATTTCTCACTTTTACTACTTGCTTTTTTTGCATGTCATAAATAATAGACTAACCACGACGTGTCTATTGCACATGTCGTTAATGGTAAAAATGATAATTTTTTTACGGCCTGCATTGCGCACCGTAATTAATAAAACTTTCTACGACATACATATAGCATGCCGTTAATACATCAGTTATATACGACACGTGTCTACCGGTCATTAAAAATAAGCCACTTTTTACGACTTACTATGTAGGTCGTGAATGGTATCCCAAAATACTTCAGGTGCCAAAACCCAATTTTTTTGGCGCCACTTATCCAAAAAAAAAAATTTAATTTATTTTTTTATTATCAAACAGACTGATACAATTCAAAAAAAAGAAAAAAAGAATACAAAAAAAACAGAGTTTCTAAGAAGAGAGGGAGACGTAGGTGAAGGGGAAAGGTTTCTTCAAACACTTCTTCAATCAATTGAATCGGTGGAGATCCATTGACGCAGTCTGCTTCAACTTACTACGAGAAGAAAGGTCCATTGACGCAGTCTGCTTCGACTGCTTCGACTTGGACTTGGCTTCAATTTGTAATCTGCTTCGACTACTTTGACTGCTTCGACTTCTTCGACTTCGACCGGTAAGGCACTCTCTCTTCTCTTCCTTCTTCCTGAAACCCTTGTTTCCTCTCTCTCTCTCTCTCTCTCTCGGTATATATATATTTATATCCCCCTCCTCCCTTTTCTGTTTGTTTTTATGCACTGTGGAATCTGCCCCTTTCTGTGCTTGAACTGATGGATGGATGAAATGCATCTGCTGTTTGTTTTTATATTGGGCATTTGAGTTATAAGAACTAGATTAATGTTGTAAGAGCTTTGAGCATTTGAATGAATATTTTATGCCTATGTGAGCAGTGTACTTTGCATCTAGCTTTATATCTTAAGTGGCTAGCTTACTGGTTCTAGCAAAGGTTTTCTTGTCATAATGTCATTGCTGCACCATTAGTTATTTATTCTTTTAATAATTTGTAGCAAAGGACTTGTTGCGTAGTGTAGATGCTATGAATGTTTGAACTGTGCTGGAGTGTTTGCAAGGCGGGATGCTTGACTCTGGACTTACAGTTTGGATTAGCACTGTTTAACCAACTAAATTTGTCTTTACTCTAGTTTTAGTAATGGGTACTCAATCCAAAAGAGGACAACTACATTATTGTCTGCATTTATATGGGTACCCTAGTTTACTTCCTTTCATTATTGTGGATTTTAGCCTTGCACTTGAATGCAGATAGCATACAATTTCTAATGAACAAAATTTAAAATTTGAAATCAATCATGAATAGTGGACAGTTATTCTTTACATTTTTTTAATCTTATTTCTTTCTTTCTTAGAAGATGATTGAATGATTTGGATAGTTGGTAGAACTTGAGTATTTTTATTTTTTATTTTTTAAGAGAAGGAAGCTGCCCCTTATTTTACCAAGATTTCAATACTATATTGTCCTTCTATCCAATTGCAAACCTTATCAATGTGATCATGGGTTTGGAGGATTACTCATAAACAACAAAACTCTATTTTTAATTGAAAATTATCTTGCAAACTCGCACAGAAGCCTATCAAGAAACCAATTAGAGCTAATTCAGTTTACCAGAACTCTTGTATACGCTATTAGAAAGTCAAAGGCTCAAGTCTTATCACAGTCTCGTAAACAAAGGTTCCCCTTCCCATATTACGGCTTTCTCCCATATATTCAAAATAAAAAAATTCTCTCAAAAATGTGTATCATAGAGTCAATGGAGGATTTGGAATACTATATAGTGTCATCAAAGGAACAACAGAATGTATTAACTGTCTTGAATAGAAAAAAAAAAAATGTGTTAGCTGTCTAAGGCTTTGTGTTATCAATAATTTATTAGGGTTTACCAAGTATACAAGTCTTAACTAATCATGGGTAGTTCTCATCTGCAGGAACATTTTACCTTTTTCAAATCTTGTGGCCGATTTTGTATTTGGAATCTTGGAATGAACAATTGGTCCAAATGGGAATTTACTTAAAAACCCCTTTGCAAAGTCTCTCAAGTGAGTCCATATATGACTTGTGTGATGCACCTCAAATTTTACTGATTTTGAACTCCTAAAAATGTTGTCTTTCACAAAAAAAAATTCAGTATCCCCACCAAATAAAAATCTGTCAGCTTGCCCTACCACTGTTGTCAAATTCATTAATTCTCAAAACCTTTTGATGAGACATAGAAAGTCAGATTATTGGAGCTCCATAAAACCAAATTCAGATTGGTAATTTTAAAAGGTAATTTTAAAATAAGAAGGATATGTATTAGAAAAGTACTCAAAATTTTGAAATTTAGTGATTAGATTCATTCTGTGCGACCCTCACAATAAGAAATTACGAATTTTAGATAGTGTTTTTTTCAAGGTACATAACATTTTTTTTTTCCTGATTTTAAAAAGCGACAATCTTGAATCACCTCCAGAATGTGACCATTCTCATTGAGGTTCCTCCCATTAATTTGATTCCCTACCAGGCTGCCATTTCATTTTTTGAACCTCCTCTCTCTCTCTCTCTCTCTCTCTCTCTCTCTCTCTCTGGTGCTGGTTTGCTCTGGCTGTTGCTTTATTTTCTTCAGCTTGCTGTTCTGCTCTGACTTTGTTGCTCTGGATCTATTAATCTGTTGCTGTTGCTGTTACTTCATTCATGTGTGGTGCTGCTAATTTGTGTGAGCTCTGCTACTGGTTTGTTCTGGCTGTTGCTCTATTTTTCTTCAGCTTGCTGTTCTGATCTGACTCCATTGCTCTGGATCTGTTAATCTGTTGCTGTTGCTGTTACTGGGGCAGTTCAGTTGGGTCATTTGCTTTGTTACTTTGGTGTTGTAATCGGTTTGTTGTGTAGTGTTGTGGAGGTTGGTTTCTCATCAACTTCCTGGGGTGCTAGCATATGATTGGGCGTGCGTTTGGGTGCCAACCTAGTTGGGATCTATTTGTTCGCTATGATGCTTGTGCACCCTCTCTTGTTTTTGTTGTAATCTTTTCCATCAATAAAGTTTTCTTCTTATTTTAGGTTCTTTAAGTGTCTAGTGGCTAGCATTTAGCTGCCTGCTCATTGGCTTCTGGTTCTATCAAATACATGTTTTTTATAAGTAAATATTTCTGGTTTGATTAAACATATCATAACTTTACATCGCTGTGAATCACTTGATTATTCTGAAGGTGAACCTTATTGTGAATTCTGTTATATATATATAATTTGCTGTGGCAATGTGCATCTGCACCTTATGCGCAAGTAGTCGCTTGTTTTCTACAAATTGGGGGGAATTAGTTGCTGCCTGATGGACTTGCTTTTTGAAATCATTTTCTGCTATGTCCTATGTGAAGTTATTAATAGTGTTTGAAACTGGAAGTAGTGGCAAACCTGGTTTGGTTTCCCCTAATGTGTGAGTATGCCAACATAGTTTCTTTGATAATAATAATAAGGTTTACTTACTGTTGTACTAAAAATTAATGTTGTGGTAAAAGATTGGCTCTATTAGATTTTGGAAAAAAGTAACTTTTCTGTATGGGGTTCAGAGGTTGACTGTTATTCCCGGAAGGTTTTTAATTTTTTGCAGAAAAGAAATTAGTGTTTGACATGAATTGATGCTCTCTTTACCTTCTCTCACAATGATGGCTTTGTTATCTTAAGAGCTTGTTTCTAGTGGACAAGATTTTTAGTGTCATGTTCACTGCCATCTCTATGAAATGGCCAGAGTTTAGGAATTCATTTGAGTTGCTGTAACATTTTTGTAGTTTTTTTAATTTTTGACGCTGAAACACAGTAGCTGCTTAGGTGGAGTTGAGACTAAGCTATGGACGTGGCCGTGGACGGATGGGCAGGGGTCCAAGGGGTGGTAGCAATCAGGCATAATGATTGGGGGTTGGTGTGCTTTGCTTTAGCTGAATGTTTGCCATGGCTTAGCGGTTATCATATTTTAAAGTCTGGTTTGGAAGTTTTGAAATTATGGCTTTATGTTCTTCAGGGTTTTTAAGCATTGATTTTGTTCTTTTTGTGAATGTGGGCAAAGCTTGTTTTAAACTCTGTTGCTGCTTTTTATGTTAGCCAAAGAGCAAGTAGCCAATTTCTAATTGCTGTCAATTTCACTCTTTGCAGTCCAAGTATATGCTTCTTGTATTTATTCATATATCTTTATTCATAGGTGTTTTTTCTAAAGCTTGTCCCTCTTTTAGTCATGTTCTTTCCATGCTATTTCTTGGCAATTTCTTGGTGATGTCATTTTTGTTTATGCTGTTGTGAAGTTTTGTAGTGCACTAAACTAGCATTTATTGTGAAAAGGACCAACTTTATGGTATTTGGTGTTAGGCATTGAAGTTCACGTAGTATTTGCAGAGATTGCTCAACCATTGCGTCACTTGACTCATCTGCATTTTTTTGAAGGTCCAATAAAATATCACCCGACTTATCTGCATTTTTTTGAAGGTCCAATAAAATAAGATCACATTTCACTGTTTAGCTTGAGGTTTCACAGAAATTTTGGGTTATTACGATTATTTGATGTTTGTTTTGTACTTTGTACAAACTGATGTGGAAACTAGGTGGAGAGGACAAAGTTACGAGATAAGCATTGCTGATGTGTATTGTGGGCATTATCACTGTTTGTGTTTATACCAAATTCACATTTTTTATGCAAAAGCACACGACTTCGGAAAAGATATTGTTATTGCCTCTAGTAATATCTCTAATTTTGTCGCTTTATTTTTTTTAAAAAACATTCTTAATCACTCCATGAACATGTCTAGACTGGTATACAAGGCTTTATTTTGATTTGGTTTATAATTTTAATAATTTATTTCATGTAGATTGGTAGCAATTGTTAGCATATGCATGTGAATAAGTTTGATTGACCTAAACAAGCAGAGAAACATAAAACATAAAGCTCAATCTTCACACTTTTATTTTGTTTTTTTTATTTTGTTTTGTATTGTTCTCTTTTTTGGTTTTTTTTTTTTGAAGGTTTCATTTGTGCAGAATGACAGCTTTTAAGTAGAAGCTGCTCAAGTTTTATGCCACTTTAGCTCATTGCCTAAATAAAAACAATTCCTAGAAGATAAATGGTCTAGCCACAAATTGAAGGTTTATATTTAGTTCAATGGAATGAGATGGAATGATTATTTTTGGTGAATAATAATTTAGCTACACTTTATTTTTATTATTATTTTTAATCAATCAAACAGTGGAATGAAGTTCCAAATGAGATTAAGGATAAGTTATGGGCTTGTGTGAAGGTAGTATGTTTATGCAGTTAATTTTTATACAACAAATCATTATTTTTCCCCTTCTTGTAATACTAAATGTTTGGTTATATGAAAATGCAGCTTAGATACAAAATACATGATATCCACAAGACACATGTGATGCAAAAGTTCGCAAAATTGTGGCGCAATTACAAGTCTGAACTATCAAGAAAAGTAAGAACTCTCGCTGCAGCAGGTAAAGGTTATTTAGCACGTAATATTGCCCTCACCAAACCTGATAAGATTGGAATGGATGAATGGAAGGCATTTGTGAAAAATCGACTTTCAAAAAGCTTCATTGTAAGTGTTTTTTCATAATAGTTTTATGTAGAAGCTCATTTCTTTTCACAACAATTAAGATAAAGATTACAAATTCTTAATAAATGTGGGCATTTCAAATGTTTACACTCAGGAAAAGAGTGAAAAATTCAAAGAGATGAGAGCAAAGCAGAAGGTGTTACACACGATGAGTAGAAAAGGCTATGCATGACTAGAGGAAGACATGGTAAGTTTGGCAATATAGACAACATTTATTTCAAAAGCATTTTGATTTTGTTGCTTCTAATTTTGTACTATGTTTTAATTTTTTATTTCTTTTCTAGAAAAATCAAAGCCAAGACCCAGATTCCATATCTAGAGTGGATGTTTGGATCAAAGGACATACAAGGCAGAAGGGGAAACCTATCAATGAAGTGCTTCAGGAAGCAGTGGTATGAATTAGCTTAATATGTTATTAAAGCTTGTGATTTCATTCAATTCAATTGAAAGATTGCTGGCTGCTACTTTACAATTGCTTTACAATTGAAAGATTGCTGTCTGCTGTGCTGTTTTGTTTGGGTTGCTGTTGCTATGCTGTTTTGTTTTGGTATGTATGTTAAACAAATTGCCAGCTTGTTTTACTGTTTTTTTTTTTTTTTTTTTTTTTTTTTTTTTTTTTGATATGTAGAGGTCTAGTTTGTCTTAAACAAAACCTATGAAGTTGTGCTTGTGATATTACTTTATTTTTTCAATTTGTTTGATAATTGTTTGTCTTATTGTGGTGAAGTAACTCAGAGGTGAGTTTTGTACCTATTTTTGTAGTTAGTAGAGTTCGTACGTCATCTTCCTCTTTTTCTTCTTTGGATATAAGTACAAACTATGGATTTTGGGTTTTTGGATTTGATTAGAGAAGAAATATTAGTGTTGTTTTCTTGAGACTTGAACTAAGCATTACCATCAGCAACATGCCGTAATTATGCTCAATAAAAGTAATGGGGGTGGTGTTTCCTTTCAGTTTATGAAATAACTCATAGGTGAGTTTTGCACTTGTTTTTGTAGTTAGCAGACTTGGGTTCCTTATCATAAATGTTATATATTGCAGAATAAGGTTCAAGAGCTTCACAAGCCTTCTACAGAAAAAGGGTCAATGTCTATCAAAGATGATGCAATTGTTCAAGCGTTTGGTCCAAAATGACCTGGTAGTGTAAGAGGGCTTGGATTTGGAGCATTGCCATCAAAAGTTGATGTACAAGCATACCAAAATCAAAATATGAGACAACTAAATGAAAAATTGCTGCTATCAGAACAAGAATTCCGGGAGATGAAACTTGAAATGTTAAAAGAAAAAGGGCAAAATGAGGTAAAAAAAAAAAAATGAACAATGTTACAATATATGAGGTTAAATTTATCTTCCTATAAAATTTAATTATTTTTTAACTTTGGTACTTCCCATTTTAGATATATGGATATTTCACAAAGTTTGTAAAAATAAAAAATTGATTAATATTTGCAGGAGCCAAGCAAAGGGGAAAATGGACACTCACATGGAGAAACTCAGGTAAACTTGCACATTTGTCATGCTTGTGCTTTTGCTTGCTTGCTTACTTTTTTTTCTACTCAAGCTTGTCATTTTGCATATGGATTACATTAAGATTCTAAATTTAAGTAAACAAATGCTTCTTGCCATTGTATTATGATTTTTTTAGGGTGGGGAAAACGGTAGATGTAAACATAGGGTGCGTGGAGGTGGTGAATGTAGAATGCACTCACAACAAAATATTTGGGTAAATTTTGTATGGCATTATTAATTTACTTATTTTTATTTTTCTCGTGCTTCTGCTTTTGTTTGCTTGCTTGCTTTTCTACTCAAGAGCTTTTGTCAAACTTTCATATACATCCCACATCGTCTACAAAATTTGGAAAAACAAATATAACTTGATATTGTATTATATTTTTTTAGGGTGATGAAAACAATGAAGACGATGAAGATATTTGGGTAAATTTTATATGGCATTAATAATAACTTTAATTTTATTTTCAATTCATTAGCTTATCTTATGTATTGCTTTCATGGTAGTTGCATGACGCAAATGAAATTGGAAATGGTGAATCCTTCGACAATGCCAAATGCAAATTGTTGAATTGGGATGGAACAAAGGTGGTGGTTGCGGAAGGCACAATTGTATCAACAGATTCTAAAGCATTGGTACATCATGTGCCTCTTGGCCCTGGGTGTTGAAAAGTATGGGTTAACCATGTCATAGTCAATGCGCCATTGTTTTGCCCTAATCGTGAGATGTTTGTGCTTGAAGATGCTATTGGAAGCACTGTTGCTTGGCCAACCCATTTCATTAGCTTTGATTTTGAGTAGAACTAACATTTATGGATAGTTTTTGAGGATTTTGATGAATAGATTTCTATAATTTTTGAATAGTTTTGGGTAATGTTTACAAACTTATATATGTACAGTTTTGGATGGTTTATAACTTTTTGGATAATTTAGAACTTAAGGATAGTCCTTTTGGATGTTTTTGAACTTGCAGTTAGGTTTTGGATGTTTGGAATGAATAAATTGATAATTTTTTAATATTTATAATTTATATATATAGTTTATTTTTTATGGTTGAAATAATATTGTCGTGGTTGATTAATATTTTGTAAAGCTTGTTTGTAATATTAGATTGTACAAAACAGGCAAATAGAATATGTTGAATTAAAAAAAAAATGCACATTTTACGACAAGCAAATTAGGTCATTATATGAAATATTCCACAGTGTTCCATGTATGTCGTGGTATGTTTTACTTATCTATGGTAGGCTGAGCAAGTTGTTGTATTATATATTTTACGGCACACAATCAGCGTTGTTTTTTGTCCCACCAAATTACGGCATGCAAAAGTGCTCGTAGAAAAAGTAACGACACAATTTGCTGTTAAATAGTTTTTAATGGCATACTATAGCATGTCGTAGAAAAAGTATCAATGACGCACAAAATCTGTCGTTAAATAGTTTTTAACGGCGTACTACAACATGTCGTAAAAAAAGTATCAACGACGCACAAAATCTGTCGTTAAATAGTTTTTAACGACGTGAGAAGCATGTCATTGAAAGTGAACAACTTTCCATGACTGGTCATAATATGATGTGACGTTGCACGTCGTAAAAGGATTTTTACGGCATGCATTGCGCATCGTAAAAACCCTTTTTTCTTGTAGTGTATAAATACTTACTGCGTAGTGTTGTGTAATTTTATCAATCTGTACATTTCTTTAAAAAACTAACAAGTAAAACCATACACATATCCTTAAAAAATGTGTGATTCGAAGAAGATTGAATCTATTGTTGAAGCTCATGTTGCTCTTGTATTGCAGCAGTTGCAAGATATCTACAAAAAGCTGAATCAAGTGGAGACACGGTTGTCAACTTTGGAGAGGCAAGTCGGCGCTATGAAGCAGAGCGTTGATTGGCTCACCGATGAGAAATTGGTGGCAGATGAAGCGAACTCTGATAAGACAATGGATGAGGACAGTGAATCAGACAGTACAGACAACTTTTCAGAAAACGTTGTTGATGATGCATCAAATATGTAGATTTGTTTTTTTTTTTCTTTTTTTTTTTTTTTTTTTTGTAACCTTTCTTGTAAGACGTTGCATTTTTCATTTGGCTGGAGTCATATGTGCTAATGGGCTGAGATATAAATTACCTAAAAAGAGTATTGATTTTTCATTCATATGCAGTCTTCAAATACTTATGTAGTACTGTAAAACGAGTAACAATTTGACTGCTACATAAATAATTAAGTTCTGTTAGGGACTCAAATAAATTACCAAACAAATTATCAAATCTTTGACATAGGTGTGAGACCCATACAAATCACGTGTGTGGGTCAACACCTATGTCAAAGATTTGGTAATTTATTTGGTAATTTACTTGGGATCCATAAAATTTTTATATCAATTCACACGGACAACAATTTCATTGGAATATGAAACACATCAATGGAAATAGGGAATTACATGTTCCGCAAACTTCAGACGTAAAACAGCACGAAGAAGGAAGGCAGTATCATTATGAGTAGGGAGCAAGTGTAAAACAGTAACTAGCTCTTATGAAGAGTTGTCTGACTGTACGGGTGATTTGACATTTCCTGTTACCAAAGCAACAATAAGGAGGAGCTGGTAGTAGTACTTCATGTACCCTAAAATGAAATCCACCAAACAAGGTTTAACAAATTACATCGAAGTTGTATCGCAATTAACGCCGTTAACGGATATCATAAATGAACTAAAATGTCTTTTTGACAAATAAGGGCTAATTACTTACACCCCATTCAATTTGAGCTAAATTATAGATTCACCGTTGACGTTTACGTAATTTTGTGTAGCTTATTTTTTGTCTGAAAAAATAAACGATTTTCAGATGAACTTATGTTGTCCATAAAAGTCTATTTATTATTGCCATTTTCGCAATTTTGTCGCTGAAATCCATATTTTTTACTTCTCAGGGCGACCTTTTAGCCACTACCATTAACACAACAAAAATTAGTCCATAAATGTCTGTCGAAACAATATTTCCAGTTTTAACGATCAAAGTAATTGGTCTCCAAAACTCTAATATGTTGTATTGTCAGTCGCTGAAAATCTCATAAAATTAACAAATAATTAAATAAGTTGAAAACACAAGAAATGACTTCTAAAAAAATGCGTCTAATGTGTTTGGTTTCATTTCTTAAAATTAATTTTTACTTTTTTGCAATTAAATTATAAATTCATTTGGTTAACAAATAAAAAATACAACTAATTATTAATTTTATATAATTTTTTCTTTTCAGTGCTTTACAAATTATTTGTACAAATTAAATATATATATTTTTAAGTATATTAGTTTTATTTATTTTTAACCAAATTAAAATTATTTTTTAAACAAGAAATCAAACATGGTTCGAAAAAGCTCAAGTTTTTTTGTCCATCTAACGTAATTCTTTTGTAAAATTTGTTCACTTATGAAAGGGATTTCAGGAGGGACAATATCGTCCATCAATTTATAATTTGGTTATGTCACCTAACCATTTTTAACATGTACTTGCCGGTCCGGGTTATATTGTTATGCGAACATACACCTTCAACAATCCAATGTCATTTATGAGGGAATCAGTAATTTAGCTAAACATCAATAGAGGTGTAGGTAACTTGCCCTAAAATCTAAACTGACTTCTGGTTCAACTTTATACATAAATGAACAAAGCATGATGACGTGGCATTCTGCGTTTGGTTTGGGGTACACTATATAAGTAGAGTTTTTATGTTTTTATCTTTTTTGTTGTGACATTATGTCTCTATTTTTTGTCAAAATTTTTTGTAATAAATTAAAAAATGCACTTATTTATGTCATCTGAAACAATCCACCGAGCTGAGCAAACCACAAACAGAAATTGTAAGGGTAAACTGCCAATACGTCATAATATTTGGAGTTTATTATCATCAAGTCCTATTGAAAATAAGTTCTTGTACAAGCGTTGAAAAAAAAAAATTTCCTCACGAATTTTTAAAATTGTCACTACAAGTGGTCAAATAGTGACATTTATTACGATGTACATGTAATAAGTCCCCCATTTTTTAATCCTAATCATATATAGGATAAGAAACCTGCCTTTTTGGGCCCACTTAAGTAAATATTTTCCAATTTCAATCGACCCAACGACTGGGGCCGACGGAAACTATAAAACACAGAACTTGGTTTCTACTTCGTCTTACTTCACCTGGTCTCTTTCTCTCTCAAACCTTTATATTTGGTTATATCGGAAAGACTTCTGTCAAGACTTTCGAATTGTGCTGCTCCCTCTCTAAATTTCCCATCTTAAAACCCTAACCCATGGCACCGAAGAAATTGTAGTCCACCCAAGAAGATGAAACCAATGCAGACCAACTTCGATTTGCCAAACGCATCAGAGACCTTACGAACCTATTCAAACTTGACTACATTTTGATGCCAAGCAGCAGTACTGTCACGAAAGCAACACTAGGCCCTACCTTCATACAACACTTCCTTGACGAATTGGCTCTATACTACCCACTTGCTAATGGTGAAACCTTGCTTATAAACCACCCTAGACTGAACTGGACGAGTTGGGAGAGCAACAAAACTCCACTTCGAGGATGGAGGCAACCAGACTCCACTTGACAGAGATGGGTCAAACGAGTCATGACTCCGATGTATGGAAACATCTTGGCATCGCTTAGGTAATCCATCTGTCCACCCTCAAATTCGATATGAATAAATGGTTGATAGCCGCTTTTGCATGCTTCTAGTCCACATCCTGTAATTCCATGCTTTTAACATTTGGAATGATATCCCCAACTATCCTTGATGTTGCCTACCTCGCTAGATTTCCCATTCTAGGGCTAGAAGTTAGTGTCTTGCTAGAACCCATTAAAGTACCCTTCACCCTTCAAACTGACATGAGTTACATTGACTTTACCAAAAAATACAAAGGCAAACCGGGTAGTGCTGTGACTGACCAAACGCCTTTTACCTCATATGGCTATGCCAATTCCTTTTCTATGTTCCTGGGTTTAAGATTACTAAAGAATATTGTAGACTCGACTTTCTTCGCACGCCCCCCTTTCAGAAACGCGCGAATTGGTCTCCTACAGTTCGGACTCTTGTAATGGTTTTGAATCTAATCTCATAAAGTGCAATGTGAGACTGGTAAATACCAAAGAGTCCAATCCGGCAAATCATTTTGGAAAATCAGATTTTAAATCAAATAATGCCAAAACGGGATTGCTTTGCCAGATTACAGAGTTGGCACCTAAATATTTTATTTTTGAGAATTTTAGGAAACCCTGACTCGTGCCAAAGGCCACGTGTCCGTCATCACTAAAGTTGTCTTGGCTCGGGAACTTGGGTATGAGAGGGGAAGGTCCTGAAATGAGCACCCCCACTCGCCCGATCAAAGGATCGGCTTCCACTAAACATGATATGTTGTTTTATAAATCTCATGTGTTTTTATACGATTATTGCTAACTTTACTATGTGACGCACACACAAGTATATACTAAATCACGAGAATTGGAATAAAACAACTCATGTTTTTTTTTTCGAAAATGGTTTGAAAGTGCCACTCGCAAGTGGGCTAAAGCGCGGATTTGCCACCCTCAAGTGGGCTTAAAACATGATTTTGCCACTTCGCAAAGTGGGCTTAAAACTCACATTTATCGAATTGTTCCAATTCAGGCAACAAAGCCTTCACCCACAGGCATTCATGCAGTTAAGCATTTAAGCAAATAGCCTCATGGCAAGCATGCTATCATGGTAATACTCACACTCATGCAAGGATGCTAAAGCGAAAAGACTTACAATGTGCTCCGAGCCAAAACAAAAAGCGAGTTAGAAATATGCATGATCCTAACTATACAAAATGCCTAATGCAACACATGCAATAATGCAACTAAATAGGCTCGACTATCTAAGATGGCATGTGAATGCAACAATTTGATACACGTATTCAAATAAGTATTAAAATACAATGCAATTTGAATGATGCACCGAGCCCGGTGCATGCAAGGCAAATGAATGATGCAAACATTCAAGCATAAGGTATGTTAAACGAAACGTGCCCTAAACTAATCATCGAAAGCGGATAAATAAAAGAGAGAAAGACGTGGGGTTGGAAGACATGCACACACACACGCACACTTATTACAACATTGCGCCCTCGCGAAGGACGGTCCGAATAAATAACAGCTAAGCCAAACTAAGCTAAGCTAATTATTACAAACCAACTAATTAACTATTCTAGCTAATTAATTATAACACAATTGAAATTGAACAACTAGCTAATCTAAGCTAATTAATTACAAACCGAATTAATTAATTAAACACTTAACTAATTAATTACAAAACGACTAAGCTAATGACCTAATTAGCTAAGCAATTCAAATGAATGGCCTCGGGAAGCGAGGGGGATATGCATGCTCGGTTGGCTTCGCCCTGAGAATCCACTACTTTGCCTCTAAATGCCTCTGCTTGCACATCTTTGGACCTCTGAAAATTATGCTAACCTCCAGACTGCTTCTATTTCATCTAAAGAACATATTGAGGGTTGATCAGCTAGAATGGTGGTTATCGGCCAACTCTGGTGGCCGATCGGCCACTGCTTCCCTGAAATTCTTCCTTTTGCTACAACAGAGAGCAAACAGAGGCATGGCTGTATATTTGCAAGGGAATGTGTGTACTGCCACCCTCCTTATCATGTCTCAAGGTCAAAGGAGTGTGACACTTGGCTCTCAAGCCACCAATCAAGCATCTCAATGCATGATGGCCCAAAAACCAAGCTTGTACAAGCTTAGTGGATGCACGAACAATACACAAAGAGCCTCCACCCCATCATGCATTATCAAGGGTGTTGGCGACCAAGAAATGTAACACGTTTCATCACTTTGAGTATGAAACGTCCCACATTTCTTGTGTTTGGATTAACGTCCGATCCAAACACATGCAATGCAACACAAATGCTTATATTGCACATGTTTTACTTGGTCCATTTCTTGTTTACACATTTTAGCTTACCAATTAGTTCTTTAACCGGTTAAGTCCAATGTGA